ACACGGGTTTACTTCCTAGTCCACAAACATAAGTCTTTATAAGTATTTGAGATATTTTGTAAATATGTTCAAAATGAGAAAAGATTGTGCATATCTACCATTAGAAGTGATCATGGAACTAAATTTGAAAATTCTGATTTTAAAATCTTTTGTGAAAACAATGGTGCCTTTCACAACTTCTCTTCATCAAGAACACCTCAACAAAATAGGATAGTTGAAAGAAAGAACTAAACCTTACAAGAAATTACTAGAACTTTGCTTTGCAAAAATCTTTGCCAAAACGTTTATGGGCAAAAGTAGTGAATAGGGCCTATTATATTCAAAACAAAATATTGATAAGACCTTTGTTAAAGAAGACACCATATGAATTATGGAGGGGGAGAAAACCTAATGTATCATATTTTCATCTATTTGGATGTGAGTCTTATGTCTTGAACACTAAGGATCAGCTTGGAAAGTTTGATTCAAAAGTGGACAAAGGCATCTTCCTTGGATACTTAGATACCTCAAAGGCATATAGAGTCTTTAACTCTAGAGCCTCTATGGTAGAAGAATTTATCCATGTGAAGTTTAATTATATATTAATGAATAATAGAAAACTATCAAATTTGGAAGAGGATTTTGCATATTTGTAGATTGATATAAAGAAGACCAATGAGTCAAACACTAGTGATCAGACGATGGCTACACCAAAAGGGTACACAAATCAATCAAACGAAACGGCCAAATCTCACAAAGATTAGAAGTTCGTCAATCATCACCCACAAGACCAAATTCTTGGTGATAAGACTAAAGGAATCAAGATGAAGCCTGTTCTTAGAAACAATGCCTCATATGCTTTGGTGTCAGATAATGAACCAAAAAGCATAGACAAAGCCCTTGGCGACAATGACTAGGTACTAACTATGGAAGAAAAACGTCATCAGTTTGAAAGGAATGATGTTTGGACTTTGGTTCCCAAACCCAAAAATTAAACCATTGTTAGAACAAGATGAGTGTTTAGAAACAAGTTAGACGAGCAAGGTAAAGTGACAAGGAATAAGGTTAAATTAAAAGCAAAAGGCTACAACAACAAGAAGGTATAGATTTTACTGAAACCTTTGCACATATTGCCAAACTTGAAGCTATCAGAATTATGTTAACTTTTGCAACTTATAAAAATATTAAACTTTTTCAAGTGGACCAAGAGAGTGTCTTTTTAAATTGAGTTATTGAAGAGGAAGTTTATGTTAAATAACCTCCCAATTTTGAAAATTGAGATCTCAAAGAACATGTTTTCAAATTGAAAAAGGCTTTTTGTGGTCTAAAACAAGCTTATAGAGCTTGGTATGAAAAATTAAGCAACTTTCTACAAAATAATATTTTTTTAGAGACAAAGTTGACACAACTTTGTTTAGAAAAAAATCTAGCACATATTTCATAGTTGTGCAAATTTATGTTTATGATATTATTTTTGGTGCTACTAATGAATCTTTGTGTAAGGATTTTTCTAAGTTAATGCATAATGAAATGAGCATGGTGGGTGAGTTGAAGCTCTTCCTAAGGCTTCAGATTAATCAAACACATGAAGGCATCTACATTCATTAGCAAACCTATGCATAAGTGAAAACTAGTGCCTATACCTATGCATCTTTTGTGGGTCTATCAAAAGAAGAATCAGGTAAACTAGTATATTAGACAATCTACAAAGGTATGGATGGATGTCTCCTCTACCTGATTGCAAGCAGACTTGACATTATGTTCAATGTATGGCTATGTGCTAAATTTCAATCTAATTTTAGAGAATCTCATCTTAAAGTTGTAAAACGTATTTTTAGATATATTGTAGATTCTACTAACCTAAGTTTGTTCTATGAGAAAAACAATGATTTCAAGTTAGTAGGATTTTATGATGCAAACTATGCAGGAGATAGGATTGAGAGAAAAAATTCAAGTTAAGGATGTTACTTCTTGGACAACTATTTCATCTCATGGGACAACAAGAAGCAAAATTTAATAGCTTTCTTCACTACAAAGGTAGAATACATTTTTGTATCAGGGTGTTGTTCAAATATTTTATGGGTTAAGTATCAATTAGAAGACTATTATGGTCTTGAAAATCATATACCCATTTTATGTCATAACACGTGTTATAAATCTATCTAAAAATCCTAGACAACATTCCAAGGCTAGGCACATTGAGATAAGTTATCCTTTCATTCATGATTATGTCCAAAAAGGTGTTTTTGATATGAATTTTGTAGACACTAATCACCATTGGGCTAATATTTTTACTAAGGCTTTAGTTGAGGAATGTTTTTTAGATTCATTAGATATCACATTAGTTTAAAATGTTTTTCAGAATAAAGATTATGCATCATCTTACTATAGTGCATCGTCTTACCATGCTTCACTTGACATGCATCATCTTATGCCTATATCGACATATATTAATTATTCCGTACAAATCTTATATTTATATGTGTACACTAAGTATTGTTTCATTCTGAGAGGATATCTTTACATTTAATGTCATTCAATGTGTTGAAATGATTAAGGAACAAGATTCGATAAAATATTGCGTGGATAAGAGCAATTAATAGAGGCATGTCACATCAATAACTTACTTTCTCTTGTCTTTTCACCTTACCTAACCCTTGACTCAAATTATTTTCTCTCCCAAATTTTCAAACTTAAACCGTTTCGGTTGCCTCTTTCCTCACACTACCGTTTATCTAAACCCTAAATCTCTCTGCCCAAACACTTCACCTTCAAAAAATCATCAATAACACCTAAGATGCAAGCTACCAAAAGTTACAAAGTCCCAATGAAAGAGCACCTTGAGTTTACGTTTCTTCTTGGGAAGACTATAGTAGTTCAAAAGTGATAATGTTAATTTTTACTTACATTTTAGTACCAAATTGATTAACAGATTCAACTCTTTCTTAACTTTAGACTTGTGTTAATCCTCAATTTTACTATTTTTTGTAAGTAAGATACCTTGGTTACACATATTGGATTATACATACTTAATCCCCATTTTTTGTGAAATTTCAGATAGGGAATTGTATTGGAAGAAGAAGTTGGATTGGAACTTAGAGATTTGAAGAGGCAATTTCAGAGGCCTCATGTTGAGAACATAACCCAGCTCACTGAGCGTGCAGGATCAACCTTGGATGCTAAAGAAGAGGATCGTGTGTTAGGCGTGTTTCATCATGCACTGAGCATGTCACTTAAGTGGTTGTGTGGATTCATATTTTTCCCTCTGGCAATGTGGGAAGGGAGTTAGACACTTCGGAATACAAAAAGGTGTTGGTTGAAGCATAAGATACAAACCTTTAGAGAAACGATGTGTTATCAGACAAAGCATACAATCTTACTTCATAAAGTCTTAAATACATATCATTTATTATGAGTAACAACTATTTAGTGCATGACTAATCGGTTCCTTAACAAATCAAACAAAGAAAGATTATTAGAACTCACAAATATGTTAAAGTGAATAAAGTCATGTTGTGCACAATAAATAAGGATAGATAGATCCCAAAAATCATGGAGAAAGTCAATAAAATTTTATGTAGAGCCTACTCTTTGCTGACACACGTTACAGAAAGTCCATTTGGTTTCCTAAAGTTGATAAGTAGTCCCCTTGATCAGATAAGAAGTGACAATTTGGTGAAATCCAATTGATGCAAGTATTTAATGCTTCAACAAACACTTTTTAACTCAAAGGTGCTCGGAATAAAGACAGGCGAAACAAGCTTGTGAGGAACCCTCAAGGTTTTATAACGGCCATCTTCATCCGGACTAGTATATAAAGAACTTTAAGAACACAAAAAAGAATGAAGGATCAACGACGAAAAAGAATGAAGGATCAACGACGAAAAGGAGAACATCTTGTACAAATATTTATTCATTCTTTCTGTAAAGGCATTTGTGCTTAATTGGTTGTACCATATCTTATCTATAAGACGAACTAACATTTGTAAAACCTTACCCATATATAAATGTTGTTATAGGGATGAGCCTAGAGAGTTTGTCTATAAAAGTATAGAGACTTGATTGTAAAAGGATAATTGGTGTTGAAGTCTGGAAATGCTTCGTATTGATAGAATACTTGAGTAGATTGCTTGGAGAGACAATTCAAAGAATACTTAGGTTTGAGTCAAAAGTGATTTGTTAAAAGAATATTTGTATCTTTTTAAAGATAATAGAACTCAATCTAATTGGATTGAAAATTATACGTAATCTTAGTGGTTGAGACGAACTAGGTCATTTTAGGTTTTATATCAGTCAAAAAATGATTCAAAATCATGTTTCACAATTAAAAACGATCATTGTTTCAAAATGACCAAATTGACTCAAATTTAAATGATAAAAGACCAAAATAAACATTTTAAAATATAAATAACTAAATTAAATCTTAAAAATAAGATAAAGAAAAAAAAATAATTTGACCTAAAATAAAACAAATAGTGATAATGTGTTAAAGTTCATAACAAAAATCCGAAAGTGCTTTTAAGTCGAACCATTCTGATGAAAGTACAATTTTATCTAATTGTTTTATCTTTTTAATATGCTTAATGTCCACTTTTGATCCTCGATATTTTTTTTATTCAAATTTAATCAGCAATTTTTCATCGATTCAATCTTGTCCTTGATCTTTTGTCAATTTTTATTACAATTATAACAGTAAAACTCAAATTTAAAACTTTGTATATATTATTCAACTCTCACCATTAAACCATTAAGTTAATCATAATGGTTCCATCGTTTTTCTTTTACTTATAATCTTAAAATTCCCATTTTGTATTCACAAATTGAAACAATTAAACCATTTATTCTTTGATGAAATGTTTTTAATCAAAACATCATATTTCACTTAAAATAACTAGAAAAAAAATGCCAAATTTTCTCTTTTCTAATTTCTCCATACATTCAGCAAATTTTTAAAATTTATACAGTTCAAATAACTTCCTATTCTAAATCCATTATAAACACCACATTAACGGAGTAAAAAATTGAAAATTGAAAGGTTTTAACTAGAAGAAAATTAATATAATTTACATCATATAATAACAACCAAATCCTGTTTTTCATACTCATCAGAATGAAGTCTAAAGTATGAAAGCACAAAAGTTCAACTATGTGTTCAACATCTCTGTCTTGCATCCCAGACACTATTAAATTTAAAAGTAAAAACCAACAGACCAGAAGACCATGATACTAGAAGGATGTTTGAGGAGTGCAGGGTGTAATATATGCTTAACTAGACACACTATAAAACAAGCCTATAAAGAGCTCCACAGTTTGGGGAAGTAAAAACTATCGGCACAAGAGGTAATGTAAATGTATATCAAACTTCATCTTCCATCACCGGAAGTAAAGCTATCAGCAAATCCAGAAGGCCTAGTTGGTATGCTAGACTGTGTATTATCTCCACTAGTAAGCATTGATGAAGAGGAAGATACATCAAAGGTGCTCCTTCCTTCAACAGCCTGCCACTTACTGAGTGCTTGAGGTAAGGTCAAATCCAAGTCAATCCCATAAATGTCATCATCATCTGCTTCTGAAGGCTTCCAAATCTCAACAAGAGGTGCCAGGACATTCACCACATGACTCATGTCCGGCCGCTGGTAAGGCTCCCTCCCGCAACAGTGGCCGGCCAACTCGGCCACAGTCCTTACACTAGGTATGGCCTCCTCATCAACAGCCATATTGGGGTCAATCAGCTTTCCAAATGAGTCTTTATTCAGTAGCATCCTTCTAAACCATGTAACAAGGTGGACATTCTCTTCTGGTTGGCTGTTGTCAATTGCTCTCCTTCCTGTTATCATCTCCATGAGAATCACCCCATAGCTATATACGTCGACCTTCGTTGTAACTCGTCCAGTGACTGCCAGTATACACCATTTTAATTAGCCATGGAATTGGACAAGAAAGCAGAAAAATAACCACTTTGTTAGAATGTCATGAACTATACATTTGAAAATTTGAAATGATCATTGGAGAAAAGAGCCACAATGCAATTGGCCAAGTAACTTGTCTTAATATAGAATATGAAGCAACCATGTATAGAGTTACAGATAATGCATGGCAGAAAAATTATAAATCATGTTCCACATTTTTTATAAGCACTGCTAACACAAAAAATTTCATTCAGATCAACTATAGACTAAATATCAGCCCTCAAAGTAGAAGCAACATTATGAGGCACGCAACTTGGCTATAGAGGATTGCAACTCAGATAAATAATTTCAATGGCTTTTAGGAGGCATACAGAAACAAACCTGTATAATTTTTAAGTCTTTTTGTTTTCATAATAAATTTAATAAACAATCTGACATCTTTGCTTTCTCAACATAGTTGTTTCCAAACAAAATTTGAGGAAAAAAGTATACTAGTGCAATCATTATCTTTCTGCATAATTGTTAGGCACATATAAGCAATAACTGCCAAAAGGTTTCAGGTTTCATTCCATCATTTTTGTATCTACCCTGTACATCCTACCTATACGACCTCATTTGCCAATGGTGGATAAGAAACATTCAAATATTAACCATATGAAACACAAAACTTCCAAATAAATAATTTAAATGTCTACCTGCATACTCCGGTGCTAAATATCCAAAAGTTCCAGCAAGCCTAGTCTCGAATGAGGTCTGTCCTTCTGGAGCAAGCCGAACCAATCCAAAGTCTGATACTTTGGCCCGCATATCATCCGCAAGCAAGATGTTTGATGGTTTTAGATCCCTATGGATGAAAATTTGTTGGGCCAAACCATGAAGATATTCAACACCTCTAGCAACATCCAATGCAATGGACAGCCTTCTCTTCCAATCTAGTGGTTGTGACCCATCCTCTTTCCATTCAAATAAATGTTTACTGAGAGGACCCTGAGGCATGTATTCATACACAAGAAGCCTCTCATTTCCATCCAAGCAATGGCCTTCAAGTGCAACCAAATGCCTGTGTCGAACCTTAGTAAGTACTTTAATTTCAGATTCAAACTCAGTCAGTCCCTTCTCACCCATCACTCCAGATTCCATCCTTTTCACTGCAATCTTTGATCCATCATGCAATTCTCCTTTGTACACAGTGCCAAATCCACCCCTCCCCAATATGTTTTCTTCACTGAAATTGTTTGTTACTTCCTTCAAGACTTGGATTGAAATCACCATATTACCAGCTTCCACATGTTGAACACTACTAGTTGGACTAAATACACCGGTTCCTCCACTACCAGCAGCACCAGAACCTGCACCTGAAACACTTATCTTCAAACCATTTCCATCTCCTGAATGACGAGGATGTACCACTATTGTTGTAGGACGTTGAAGTTTTCTGGCGTTTTTATGTATTCTACCATAAATCATAAACACCAAAGCCCCTATACCAAGTAAACTGACACCGCCCACCACAGTGCCAACAATTGCTCCAGTATGAAGTTTCTTACCGTCACCTCCAGATTTGCTCCCAGAATCCGAGCCAGGCGGGGCATGAGGTTTATCCTTTCCAATATCAGGATTCCCATTGGTCTTAAGAACTACATCTACACGGAAAGATGGCACTTTACCATTCAATTGATTATTGGAGACATCAAGCAATGTCAAAAGAGGCATACTAGTGAGTTCACTTGGTATGGTACCAGTGAGGTTATTGTTAGCCAGAAGCAACTTTGTCACAGATGTAAGCTTGGCAAAACTGGGAGAAATGTTGCCAGAGAGATTCATGTCTTGAAAATTAATAGTGGTAACATTACCATTTGAACAAACAATCCCCATCCAATTATTACCATCATCACCACAAGGGTCATTCATCTTCCAATTCTGAGCAAATCTTAGAGGATAACCGAAAGGTTCAACAACAGACAACAAAAGATCCACAAGGGGAGAACATGGCTTACCAACATCCTTGGTGCAGAAACTATTGGACCCCGACTTCAAATCGTTATCAACCCTCACTCCATCTTTGAACACAGGAGGCGATCCTTGAAGCATGTTATTGGTCAAATTCACAACTCGAAGAGCAGGAAGAGCAGTGAGAGAGGGTGGAACAACCCCAGTCAGCTGGTTATCCCTCAAACTCACATCAAACAGTTGATCATGGTTAGAAAAGTCCGGTATAGGACCTGTGAATGAGTTACCATGCACCCAAATTTGTTTCAAAGATGTCATGTTCTTCAAAACATCAAGGGTACCATTGAGTTTGCCACTACTTTGCTGACCATTCAGCCAAAGGTACTCTATAGCACTCCCAGAGAGAGTTGCAGGCAACCCTCCCTCAAGAGAATTAAAACTCAAGCTAAGAGTAACCAAACCTGGCAAGGGACCATCTTTCCCAAAAAAATCTGGGATTTTCCCCACAAGGCCAGCACTGATTGCAGAGAAACTCCTCAGAGCCACACACTCCTTGAGGCCACCAGGAATCTCCCAATTGGGAAAAGGGTTGTAGCCAATGCTCACTTCTTGCAAATTGGTCATGCCGGCGAAGAAATCCACCGGCATGGATTCGAAATTGTTGTTGTGGATGAGCAGAGTCACAAGGGAATTCGGCATGCTAGGAAACGGCCCAGTGAAGCCATTGCTCATGCACTCAAAACGTGTCAACTCCGAGAGCTTCACCAGTTCCTTAGGCAGAGTACCCTTCAAACTATGTCCCCCAATTTGAATTGCGGTGACCCTCTTCATGGTGTTGCACTGAACGTGAGACCATTTACACACATCTGCGTCATCCCATTTAAGATCATTGGGTGCTGTGATGGCCTTCTTCAGCGTGTTCATCACACCAACATCACCATCACCCTGGCACCATGCACACTCAAACCCCACACAAAACAACAACACAACAACCCATGGAACAAAACCCACATGGGTTTTCATTGTCACGATCCTTTGTATTACGGCAAATTACAGACAAGATTTATCATATGCTGCGGTAATCCACCGTTTTCTAAAACCTTGGTTACACTAACAGAAAACACAAGAGGGTGGTGATTCTGGTGAAGGTTTGTGTCGAATGGAGAAACAAGAAGGGGGTGAAAAAACCAAGAAACCAAAGATTTTTTTTTTTTTTTCTCTCTTTTCTTTTTGTGATCACTTGGACAGCATTGTGAACTTGATAAGGATTCCCAAGAACGAAAGAAAAGCAAAAAAGGGAATTTTCATTGAGAATAGAAAAGAAAAGAGATTCGCTTTTTGGAGAGAATTGGAATATAAATCACACGGCGGAGAAAGAGGGAATAAGAAGAAAGCAGAGAAGGAGTGAATGAAGTTTTCGTTGGGTTTGGGTTTGAGGTGTGTCACACAACAGAACATACATAGCATGAACATGAACGATGGAACATGCGCGTGGGACCCACTTTCGTTGTTTTAGTTTTAGGTAACGTTTTCACGTTTTGGTGTAGTAAATAGTTATGAGTTAAGGGTGTGAGTTAACTACAGCGTGTTTTTTTGTTGCTCATAAGGGTGGGTTGGTGCGTCGTGAGTTGGAATTTTAATGGCGGTTTTATCGGATTTGTCCCAATACTGGTAAGTAGAGCCACCAACTTTTTTTTTTTTTTTTTTTTTAATTAATTTTTACGAATGTCGTTTCTGATACTTTTAACATTTTTTAATTTAGAAAAAAAATAAATGGATCTTATTAAGGAAAAAGTCAGACTTAATACATGATTCAGGGGATCTCGTCGACATTATATACCCAATAACAAGATCAACAAAATATGTCACGAGATATGTTCCTAGTATTTTCCATGTTGAAATATTCCGGAAATTATTATTGTTAATTTGTGATCTTGTTTGAGTTAAATTGCAGTGGTATTAATTTTTTATAAATATTATTAAAAGTGTGTTGATGTGTATCTAGGATAATATTTGTATCACACCATTGATAAATAACTTTATTTATTATATAGTCAAAATTTTGATTTATGAACTCTAAGTCTCTTGACTTAGATGTATCATGAGATGCAGAGGTCAACTTGATAATTTTATATTTAATTTTTGTGTGTTATAATAATTTTTAACTAACAAAAGTCATGTTCTATAAGTACAAATTAGTTATTGGTTAACTTTAGAACACTTCATTACATGAAAAAAGAAAAAAAATTACTCATTAGAAGTAAAAAAATGAGATGAAAAGTGACTAAAACATTAAAAGGAAAAAAAATGATAAAAGACAATTAAATCAATTGAGAAATTAGGAGAGTAATTTCAAATTGCAAATTTAGAGATGAAGAAACTCATAACTCAAGATACACATATGTATTATCTTTAAATTTAGGTGTAAGTGCACACCCCTCATTTATATGTAGGTTTGTGAGAGACAATATTTCAAGGTTAATTTAAAATTATAATGTGTTTGAAAATATATCCATCTTACATTTTAAATTATTTTTAATAAAAATAATATACATATATATAATTTTCTTAAAATAATTAGTAATTTTAAATTGATATACATGTATTATTTCTTTTAAAACCAAAACATAGTTATTTTTCTTTTAAAGAAAAGGAATATAAAAGTAATTTTACATGTATTATGACGTGTTTATTAATTTTTATAATAATTATTTTAAGAATCATGATTATTTTTAGTTCACTGATCGTGTATTTTTTTTTTACTGCAAATTTATTATTTTTTTGTGAAACACATAGAATTCATTTATATTAAACTTTAGTAAAATGAATTTTTGGAAATAATTAAGATTATAAAATGAATGAGTTTAATTTTTATGCATCATTAATATAATTTATTTTTATAATATAACAAATCTAATAAATATAACTTTTAAAATATTTATTGTAAAAATGAGGAATACTAACACACTCTTCTTAATACATTCTCTCTTCTTTAGTAGAATTTATTGAAAATCACAAAATTAAGAAAGTGTGTCATTAAATAAAGTGTGTGACTCACTAACTTTTGTATTTGTTAGAAAATATGTATTCAAAAGAAAGTGTATTTAAAAGAATGTTAAAAAATATGATTGCTAACATTTCCAAGAAAAATATAACAAACTTACAACATAGGAATGTAATGTTTAAATTTTTATTTAATTAAGAATACCATTTTAAAAATGAGTTGACAAAAGGTGATTTTCTTTGAATCATTAAGCAAAATTAGTTTTATACTTAGATATAATATTTTTATACACAATTAATTATTCATCCTCATCAGCACTTTTCGTAAAATTAGATTGTAAGTCCTCGGCGCATTCCACGTTAGACTCAACTATTCAAACTAACATGTTCTCTAAAAGTGCTACTTTGATTATCGAGTCAACAACATGAACTTGAAATCCAATTGTAAAATATTAGGAGTATTCATGCTGGTGTTTGGTTGTATTTCTTACTTAAAATTTATCCGAATTAAATAAAAAAAATTAAGTGAAATTTGATTTATTTCGGTTTGAATGTAATATAAAATCTGAATAAAACAAAATCAATTCTTTTCAGTTTGATTATGTTTGGTTTTTGCGGGTCGTAAAAATTTATTATTTAAAAAATATGTAATATTAAAATAAAATTAAAAGTATATAAATATTTAAAAATTTCAGTCACATAATGTATTTAGTACCAATTCAAATCTTATTATTTAAGTGGAGACATTTTCTTAATACAACTTTAGTTATTGTCTTAATTTTTCTTTTCATATATATATATATATATATATATATATATATATATCTTAAAATAAAATTATTTTTAAGGTACAACATAATAAAATTATTTTTAATCTTATTATGTATTTGCTCTACAAGATTCTTTCTCAGACAACTCTAGCAGTGATACAGATGACTATAGCCAAGAGGAAGATTCAGTTCCCATCTTCGCTGTTGATCAATGTGATAGTATGACAACTGTTGTCCCTTCACACCCCAATGTGGAAATTGAGATCCTACCATCCAAGTATGAGAAACCTATTAAGGTTATAGGTTTTCTTGATACAGGTGCTTCTAAGACTATGATGAACCCAGAAATCTTACCACCGCATTTCTGGAAAAAGGAAGATACCTTCTTCATAGCAGCTGACGGAAAGATCTTCAAATCAGAAGTCATTTCACGAGCACCAGTAGGCATCCGCCTTTTTAGAGAATGAATAATTTGGTCCAAAGTTGTTGGAACTAAATTGCCTAACAAAGATATCTTAATTGGAATGGATGTCTTCACTCAAACACACAGGCTACTCATCCATCCAACTGGACTCAGATTCAAAGGAGAATTCAAGCCTTTCGTGCCAACCAGTAAGTTATACTCTCTTTCTGAAGTTCCACCAAAATTGGAAGAAATCAAGATACAACTGAAATCTTTATGTTCTGATAATCATAAAGATTTCACCCATCCAAAACCACTCTGGAAAAATCCTGACTTCTTTGTACAATTGCCATTTAAGCTGAATGAGGATATAAATCCCACAAAAGCTTCTCATCCAGGCATGTCTCCATCTGATCTTAAATTAGCCAAACAAGAATGTCAAGAACTGCTCAGACAAGGTCTCATAGAACAGACGACATCAAATTGGGCGTGTCAAGCCTTCTACGTAGAAAAAAGATCAGAAAGACTCAGAGGAAAGAAAAGATTAGTCGTTGATTACAAGCCTCTCAACCATTTCTTGAAAGATGACAAGTTTCCACTACCCAAGACTTCCACTCTGCCTATCTTGCTAAAAGAATCAAAAATCTTCTCTAAATTCGATCTCAAATATGGATTTTGGCATGTAGGAGTTGATCCCAGTGAAAGGCACAAGACAACTTTCTGCATACCCAATGCATAGTATCAATGGACTGTTCTACCTTTCAGCTTAAAGGTAGCACCATCTCTATTCCAGAAAGCAATAACAAAGATACTCGAGCCACTCCTAGACAATACTATCATCTACATAGATGATATCCTTTTATTCTCCAAAGACATGGAAAGTCACAAAAAGCTCTTAAGCCAATTCCTGGAAAGAGCAAACCTGTATGGCATCATGTTTTCAGAAAAAAAAATACAGTTAGCCCAACAGGAGATTGACTTCTTGGGGATGAAGTTCTCTCAAGGAACTTACCAACCTCAACCCCATATTGCTGAAGAGTTACTCAACTTTCCTAAAGAAAATCTATCTGTCAAACAGATCCAACAATTCCTTGGAATTATCAACTACATTAGAGATTTCATTCCAAAGGTTGCTAAATATACAAGCCCTCTCTCAAAACTGTTGAAGAAAGATCCCCCTCCATGGGGACCAGAACAAACCAAGGCTGTCCAAGAAATAAAGAAGATTGCACAGAATCCTCCTGCATTAAAGATCCCAGGAGATGGGAAAAGGATCCTCCAGACAGATGCAAGTGATCATTACTGGGGTGCCGTCTTCATTGAAGAAGTAGACGGAAAGAGGTTCTACTGCGGGCATGCTAGTGGACAATTCAAAGAAGAAGAAAAGCATTACCACACCACCTACAAAGAGGCATTGGCTGTGAAGAATGGAATCAAGAAGTTTGATTTCCACCTGCGAGGATATCACTTTGAAGTTCAAATGGATAATTCTTCCTTTCCCAAAATCCTGGATTTCAAGAACAAGTTACCACCAGAACCTCAAATCTTAAGATTAAAAGATTGGTTTTCCAGGTATGATTTTATTGTTAAACACATCAAAGGAAAACATAACCTCATTCCTGATTTTCTTTCAAGACCACAAAAGCCAGTTTTGGTCATCTCATCCTCCTATAGCTTTCCACTGATTTTCATGGCAAAACCTCTACCTGATACAGCAAAAACTAGAAAGCTATATCCTCCTGGTTTTAAACCTAACAGTCCTGAAGAGATTATTCAATTCGCCAGATCTCATTATTTTTATTATCTTCATGAGACTTTAAGGTTTAAAGTAGTCCCTCCAACCATGTTTGATCCTACAGAAGAACATCCTGGAATATTTGAATTATTCTGTGAAATTGGTTGGGATTTATGTGAGCCAACTCTTTGGGCTATATGGTGCAAAACTGTCCAAAGTCCAATTGCAATTGCTTTGAAGACACAATCAGCCTACAATATTCTGATAAATCCAGACAAGGCAGAATTTTTATTCTGGACTTTATTAGAATGGTTTTCGCCTCTCCCATGGTGGAGAAGTGAGTTAAAAAAGGTTCTCGATTTTCAAAAGAATCAAATGGGAAGGACCAGAGAACAATGTGAGTCTTTAACCTCTATTATTATCATCAGGCGTCCTTACTTCCAGAAACCTACAGGACAACTGTGGTAAAAAATGAAGCTTATTTTTGGGGAACCTTTGAAATATATCCCCCAGATGAAAGTTACAAGGCACAGTTAATCAACCATCTCA